TGTATCTAACTAGCTGGGAGGAGAGATGTGAGAGAGATGATTTCCACGTCCTTTGGTACAGAACCAAACCATGGCGAATCTGTCATTCGATTTATCCGGCCTTTTTCAGATTCATTTGTCTGTCCCTTTATATGACGCAGTCAAAGCCAATCCTCTCGATAATCGCTGGGAGCCAAAATAGCCAGGCACATTTCCTTCCATGCATCCAGAACCCAAGCCTGGCGCTTTAAGCCACCTCTTAAGAAGAGCAGGTGTTTATTTCTTCTTTTTCGAAACCACCTTGGTAAACCCATCTTCATCCACCTCGGGCTCTTTCTTCTCCTTCTTGACCAACTCGGGCACGGCATCAGTCATCTCCTCGTCTTCGTCGTCGTCGTCGTCGTCGTCATCCTCTGTATCCCAATCTGCCTCTTGGTCTTGTTCCACCAGCTTGAAATTGACCTTTTCATTCGGTCTCTTGGAACTGAATCTTCTTCGCAGGTCTGCCACCTCGCCGTCTATTTTGCCCCTGAGACATTCCGTCCTGGCGCGGACGATTTGCTCGGCTACGAGGGCGGCGGACTCGTTGTCTATCGCTACTTCGAATTCGTCGAGCATTACGTTTAGGAGGAATTCTTCTATGTATGCTTCGTCTGGTTCTTCTGTTGAGGAGGAGGAGGAGTTGTCATTTTGTTGTTGTTGTTGTGGTTGTTGGTTTTGTTGTTGGAGTTGTTGGAGCAGGGCAGAAGGGGAGAGCTTGGAGATGTCGGGGAAGAGCTCGACTACGGCGCCTGCGAGCCAGTCGCGCTTGTCGGAACTGTCGGGGCCGCCCCAGTTTTCTTGCACTGCGAGGGATAGGTCTTGCCAGAGGTGTAAAGCGTAGGCGACCGCTTGTTCGAATTCGGACTGGAGGGTTGCTGGTTTTTTTTGGGAGGCTTGTTAGTCGGGGTGAAATTTGAGAGAGTTTACAGGGGGTAATTAGTTGATTTGATGTGGACGTACCTGGGGAGGGGTTGGTTGCCATCTTGGCTGGTCTCTAGAGCTATATTTGGATCGGTTTTCGCAAACTTTGGTCTCTTGTGGGCTTGTGGGTGGTGGTTATGGTGATGTTGATTGAACAAGTGGTGGGCTTGGTTGAGTTGCGCAAGGAAGGACGCATTTCATGGAGGGGCTGTTGCTCTGGGACAAAATTTTGAACCCCTGTCGCTGCTTGCCCCACATGGTGTTTGTGTCATGCATGCACTTAAAGTCCAGGGTTAGGGTTATAGTAATGAAGATCCGTTCCCCGAGATTGTCCTGGTGGTGTGTTCGTCATTGATATTTACTTAATAATCCATTTCACACGCTGGCCACATGAAAAGGTCAAGCCGTTGAGACCGGTGCTCAACGCTCACATAAAACTCACTCTGGTCCTTATACATCAGGTGTGATTGATACAATTGCCTACCGGAGCACATCGCAGATATGGATAGAGCTTCACAGGCCAGTTTGCGGTCCTCGCTCATGGTGGAGTTGCGGAATTCATGTTCGGGAACCAACATATACGCCCGCGGATTTCAACATTACCGGGAGGATAGTGTCTCACCAGCTTACCAATGTTCTTTACGCCTCCCAGGAGACGTACCGCACTTAGCTACCAGGTACCTCCCTTGCCGAGGCATCCCGTCTCAGCTCTACATAACTGGTTCTCGAACCCAAAGACCAGCTTCGTAAAAGAAAGGCGTGACTTTGTAGTGTAAAAGTCCTCAGAATACGGATACGGCTAAACGACATACCATTGACGATCTGGGCGGCGTACCACACTGTCGGGGTGACTTCTGTCCGATGGCTCCACATGCGAGCCGAGCCGGGCGGACATTGCGACGCTCTCGGCAATCAAGCTAGACCGGCTCAAGCCTCCCTTTCCAAAACGCCGAGACTGGCATTCCGTCATCAGCCCTGTGGCCTGCTCTGCTCTTTGTCAATCACGCTATTTTGGAACCTCTTCCCAACTGAAGCTCTCATTCCTCAATCGCCTCCAATTCGCACACAGTCGACCCATTGAAGCTGTCCTTGAACCTACACAAATCCTCATTGCATCCACCATGTCGACGACAGCAATCTTTGGCTGCACCGGGTTGGTGGGATCACACGTCCTCTCAACCCTCCTCTCACCCACAAACTCAGCCCAGACGATCCAAACCATCTCCCGTCGCACCCCCAAATCTACCGGTGTCAATCTTCAAGCAGTCGTGGAAGCAGACACCACCCAATGGGCCAACAAGCTCGCCTCCCTCGCTCCTACCCCACAAACCGTCATATCCGCCCTGGGCACAACGCGCGTCGCAGCAGGCGGCATCGCCAATCAATGGAAGATTGACCATGACCTTAACGTCGAGATCGCCGAGCAGGCCAAGAAGTCCGGTGTGAGGACATTTGTCTTCGTCTCCAGTGCCGGCATTCGCGGCTTCTTCTCGGGCCCTATCCCCTACTCGCAAATGAAGCGCGGGGTCGAGGACAAGATCAAAGAGCTGGACTTTGCACAGGCCATCATCCTGCGTCCGGGCTTGATCATCGGGGAGAGGGAGGTCCCTCATCAGGGTGGCGCATTGATGAATGGGTTTGCTGGGGCTCTGGGTCGGTATATCGGGCAGGGTGTCAAGGACGCGGTCGGACAGGACGCCGAGGTGATTGCCCGGGCTGCTGTGCACGCGGCGAGGCTTGCGGATGAGGGCAAGGCGCCTGAGAAGTATTGGATCTTGGAGGGCAAGGACATTGTGAGACTGGGCAGGACGGAGTGGAAGGAGTGAGATGGTCCAGGACGTTGATGGGTTTATCAAGTGGGCGATGGATCGTTTATAATGAGGGGCTTGTAAGAGATTACTGAGAGGCTGTGCAAGGATTATTACTCGCTCACAGATATATCGACATGGGAGAAGATGGTGTTGTCTCCGGATGCTTATCTGGATGACGGGCGTGATGCACCTGCGTATTCGCTACCTACCACAGCACAATGCCAAGACAGCCACACTGGGAAGCTTAATTCCAACTTCATCGATGACTTGCACTTTCATTCGCACCTACAAACTCGGAGAGTTACAGTCTATACCCGACTGGTCTCAACTTCGACCGGCATTTCATGGTCTATCCGTGGTGTCGTTTTCACGTTACATCAAATATACTCTTGAACTGTCCGATTTTTGTCGCTCACGTTCATTCAAAGACGGAGGCTGCGTTGCTCATCTTTGAGAATGTTGCTTGATTGCTTTGCAACAAGGACACAACAGATTCATTTTATCAAAGTCAACCACTCAGTTCTTAGTCGTATCTCTTACTCGCATCCCTTGCTCGGTCTGTTTTGTTCAGTCTATCCTACTGGCCGCTTTTACTCCTCTCGCTTACTCATGCGAACTGAAGAAAGCCTCTTCTTATGATCAGCCAAGGAAAGCAATGTTATAAAGCTTGATATGTTCTTATACAAAGTTGCGGTTCTTAAAAGCCGTACTTACCTTTACAGTTGTTTACTTATCGGGTTGCATTTTGTGCTTGCGCGGGCTCAGGAAACTATCCTCAATAGTAACTTCACAGTCACTGACCATAGCCGGTGAGTCCTCAAAGCGATTCTCAACATGGTTACATTTACAATATCGGATCAACCCTTTAGAATAGTCATAATAATCAGTAATAGCCATGGACATAGGATGGCTGTCGCTTGCCGGTCATGATCCAAATTCCGCACAGTTCCAGTGACACGGCATAACAAATCAGCAACAACTCGGGGTTGGCCTCTCTGTTTGACCATGGAGCGTGTCATCTTCATCAGCGGAGTGCTTCACGGGCAACAGCCTGAGCCTGCTACACCATATATCACAGCACGGCGTGCATGGATGTCAGAAGATCTACAAAACAACATGCCTAGCGGTCTCTACTCATTGAGCTTGATGAAACGACCTGGAGGCAGGGATCTGGTCTGCCGACTTCGACGGGCCTCTGCAGAAGTCATCGACGCGCGGTCTCTCTCGCTACATGGTTCCTTTTCTGGTAAACAATCATGGGTTGAAGATGTCCATCACATACTTCACGATGTCTAACCGGCTGCAGGAACTATACATCCATGGTAGTATTGTAGGAGTCGACTTGAGACACAGTGAATAGTATGCTCACGTCTCTGAGGGGAAACACGCCGAGTGAACAATATGATGACATCGCAGAGGGACAGCTCGTCGAGTTTGAGAAAATGAAAATCTATATAATATGCCATTTGCCCGCCCACTGCCCTAGCAACTCCTACCCCCAAACGAGCTCCAAGAGCGCGGCACTGTCACAGTTACCATGTTCCGCGGTGACGTCTGCAACGGTCAAGCCGACAGTTTCCAAGTCACCGACGGCGGCAGACGCTGTGTCCCTGTCTCCAGTCCTAAGCGGTCTCTTTCCTCAGTGGAGGGTAAGTCTCTCCATGTCCCTTCATGGACCCCCCAGGCCGGATCCATATTCCATATTATATATACGACCCATCTATCTATCCATCAGAGACAGTCAGTCACTCTGACTCGCTGAGTTCATGTTTGCTAACCACACCCTTATTCTTCACTCAGGGGCTGGCCGCTGCTCCGTCACCACCTTCAGCGTCACCGACTGCCGCGGCTCATCCTTCCACACCAATATCGGCACGTGCTCCGGCGTTCTTTACGGCCCTGTCCGAGTTGAGTGCTAAGCAATTAAGTACACTCTCTGGCAATGATGGCAGATGGACTCAACAGACGATGAGAGTGGGTTGAGCGAGGGAGTGAAATGCTACATGTGGCGTTCCTGATATAATTACATAGCCATAGATATCGGCAAATTCAACATTTGAACTGGTTCATTCACCCTCTTGACATAGCATGACATTAGTTGATGACAAAGTAATCCTAAAGACATACCATTTAAATGACATTACCAAAATATGTCGACCTTAGAAGGTGCCCTAAATCCAGTGGTACAAGCCCAAAATGAAAGCAAAAAAGTAAAACAACAAGAGGATGTCTCACCATCGGGAATTGAGCCCGACGTGGGGGTCGAACCCACAACCTTGAGATGTAATTCTTTGTTTCCGCAGATGTCTCCATCAGGCTGGAATAAGAGTCTCACGCTCTACCGATTGAGCTAGCCGGGCGGGATCCTCTTGCTGAATTATGATTTCGGATGCTGGAGGGTCTCGTTGTGGCTGCTTTTTTATTGCCTGCACGGTATGAACTTTGTTTGACTTTGTCTGGTTGGCGGGTTGAAGCGAGTCAGAAGGTTCAGCCGGTGGAGCTGTCAGTGCATAAAACATCAACATCGAAGAGTTGTGATGTTTCAAAGCAAACGGAAGCAAACGGGAGATGAGGTGTCTTGTCGGTAGAAAGGCTATAATATTACCGGCAACCAGTACGAGTAATCACTCAGAGGCAGGAGAGCTGTGAACCAAGACCGATATTATATTGATGAGCATGTTGTCGTCGAATAAACGGGTAAACCGGCAAATAAAGCAAGGATGAACCAAGCCCGTTTTGTGGATACAGTGGGCACAAAAAAAAAGAGAAAATGCCCTAAAAAGAACATACAACACCAGGGATTCGCTGGTGGTCACCCACCCAACTACTAGTCCGGCGGTTACTGGCTTATCTATGGGAGAGCGGACGGGATCCCGAGTTTTCCAGTACCTATGGTCGTATGTACTATTTCTGAGCCTTTGTTGATTCTATATACCTTGAGTTGGCCGTGGACGGTAGTCGCATGAAGCCTTTGTGTGATCGTTGCGAGCAAGACACTGACCTCGCCTTGGTTAAATTAAACGTAATGAATTGAAAGCTGAACCTTTCGTGCCGAATATTTTTGAATATCCTCTAACGTTATATCATGGTCCGAAGAACGGCACAGGCTTTGTCGGAAGAACGGCTGGCATCTTGGATGACGAGGCTGATGCCAAGCCTTTTTCATGAAAAAACAGGTGCAAAGCTGGTGCTTTTTCAGTTCCTAGAAATTTTATTAGAGTGAGGCAATTAGGTCTCATATTTCTGCTTGCCATGTCTTACATTTCATATGTTTGCATCGCTCATGGTCATATCATGTTTTCAAGGGACCGATGTGTCGTCCACTTATAAGTTGCTCGTTTGAATTCTGATTGGCTCACCAGCCTCGAATGATCTCGCAGCACCTGTGAGTTGTAACAATTCACTGGCATACATAACGAAGTACTAGACATGAATAAACTGCTAGCTGCTTGCTAGCAGGTAGCTGTGCAACTGCCTGATCTATTTGTAAAGAGACACTTAGAGGAAATTCGCTGGGACCCACCACAATCCTCCAGGGTTGCGCGAGGCTGTCCTCCGTCCCCTGGCATGTGTCTGATCACAGCAAGTCACCCATTTATCTTAAGAACCATGAAACTAAATGGAACCGGAGAACATTTTCAGAGTGTGATGGACTGATGGGCAGCGTCTTAGACTTTATGCACTGAAAAGTGCTCCCACTGTGCCTTTAAGTCATCAGTCAGGTTGTCCAGCTTCGGCGCTCACAGTTGTCTGTTTTCATCTCGATAGTCCCTCCTCTCGAGTGCCCCTCCTGGCTCTGATCCCATCTTTGCCTGTTCTTGCCCAATGAAGCGGGGCTAGACTGCAAACCACTGGAAACTTTTACACAACCGGCAAACGCCACTGCACGTATTGGCTGCCCTTGCGCGACACTCTCACTTTGCGAAGTAATGTGTTGGCCACTCAAGACACTGTTCTCGACTGCTTCCTGTTTTTCTCATTCCGCAATACTGGCGCAATGGATCACAAAACTGGCCGTGACTCCCCAGCGCCGTCACTGTACACCATGGATCGCGACCAGAAAATAAGGAACCTTCGCAACGAACTATTGGTCGCCCTGATGGAAAACCCTCCTAGAGGGGTCAAGCCGGATTCGCTTCAAGCTGTAAAAGATTACCTGGTCCGTCTGCTGTACAATGCTTGCGAAGATCTTTATACAGAGCATAAGCCATCACTGAAGTACATCTCAGAGCGTGCCATCGCCCTACTCGCCCTCGTCAGAGCATTCCGAATTTCTGGTACATTGTTGAATCTAATAACCCAACTACAAATCCTCACCACTAACTCGGCCTCCTGACAGGACAGCAAACCCCGCGCGACTGCATAGATCTCTGCCAGGTTGCACTGCTGCCAGTTGATCAGGAACAGCCGGTCTCACAACCCAGCAAGGAGTATCAGTGGTTGTATAAGCAACGACAACAGCCTCCAAGCCAAGCAATCATGAATACATTCGTCTACGGCAACTTCCGAGTCTGAAGACGATGGTATCTCTGCAGGTGGAATGAAGTATACGGCTACCAGGACCGAGTGGAAATATATGTTGGCAAATCAAAGACTCTTGACTAAAGAAACCACCTTGGAGATGGCGGGCCGAACATATTGCGTCATACTTGGGTGGTTGGATCTTATACACCATGCTAGGGCAAACTGGAACACGAATAGGGGTTTCATAGAGATATTATCTGCCTTTCGAGGCTCATGATATTGATCCCTGATCCTAACCCCATTTTGAGGAATTCTTTGAGGACTTGCATGCATGATACTGTGTCTGACTGCGGATTTACTGCTGTAGATGCTGGTAAGGCAGACGATCCTGTAGACCTTTGTCCATGATGAGATATTTGGAAGATATGGCAATCAACAGGAAGACTGAGCAGCCAAATACTATCAGCGGTTTGCTGGCAATAATACAACCTCCAAACTTCCGTTTGATGGGATCCGCATTCTAAATTCGCTGGGATAGCTCTTGGACGTTAAATTCACCGTCACCCACCAAAGCCTTCCCTGGTTGCTCGAGGCTGTGCTCAGCTTCCAGGTGGAATTTCTACCTTTTGCAAAGCTGTGACAGTCAGTCAAAAGTTTTTCATGAGATGTAATAGTGACTCGATATTCGGAGGCTCGCCATTCTCAGGTTTGTTTGCATTCTGAGTCCTGACCCCGCTCTTCTGGCAGCAAGACCAGTCCTGAGATGGGATGAGAGTAAACAACTCACAAGGAAGGAGCACTCGAGAGGAAGGAGCGTCAAGAGGGAAAACAGACCGTCAACAGCTGTATGGGCAACTTTGACAGCCTCCCGTCGAGAGCGAAAATTGAAGGGCTCGTCTGATCTTCACACACACTGGAGGCACTTTCGAACTCATTAATTCTGCCACGGTCATCTGTGCCAGATTCATTCCGTCTCCCACAAACATCGCCGAACTCGCATCTTCTCGATACGTCGTTCCCCTCGACCACAACATCTCTCTTCGCAAAAGAGCCCGACAATAATAAAGCCCCTTCTTTCTTTTTCCTCCGTTCTTCGGATCCATCCTCAAAATGGAATCTGGTAATGGTGGGGGCTCATCAGGAAAGCTGAGAGCAAATAAGGACTGGGATGAGAAACTAAGGGGCATTCGCAACGAGGTCTTGGTTACCCTTATGGAAGACCCTCCGAATGGGATGAAGGCGGATTCGCTTAAAGCTGCGATTGACTTTCTCGACGACCTGGCGGGCGCTATCTGTGCAGATCTCTATGATCAGTATAAGCCTTTTCCCAGGTATGTCTTGCCAGAGACCATTCTACTTCTTACCGATATCAGGGCGTATAGAATTGCTGGTAAGTTTATAACTGTTTCCTCTGAAAACTTCGATTTTGACTTGGACACTGACTCGCTACCCCGATAGGAAAAGCTGTGCCCCATGCCTGGATCGATCTCGGCCAGGATTTTCTAAAGCCAATCGATGAACAGCGACCCACTAGGTTCAGCAGTAAGATGTATCTTAAGCTGTACGAGCAGCGACAATGTATTCCAGTCTCAAGCCAGGCAATCCTACAGACATTTGTCCACGCTGAGATATCTGGAAAATACGGCACATCCAACACGACCAGTGAAGCCCCGGCCAACACGAAGACTGAAGCATCGGCCACCAGCACGAGTGAGGCATCGGGATCACTTAAGAGACGCAGATCTCGCAGCCCAGCCTGAACAGCCTAGAGGGTGCTTGAGGCTGGGAATATCTTTTGGCAGGATTTCGAAGGCTTGGGAACAACAAAGTCAGCATGGGCGAATGGAGATGGTTGGGTGGGAAATTTTGGGCGATACTCGTACTTGGCCCTGCCCTCCATATGCCTTAGATATAATTCCTTTATGGTACTTCTCTCGATTTACCGACGAGGGACAAAATACACATGAGAAAAAAACTCATATGGCCCTAATAAAACATTCCAGGCTTACTTGACAACTTAACTGTCTGTGATATTTTTATCAACCGTTGTCTGTGTATTTTCGTACAGAATTCCACAGTATAGAGTCAAGCTGCAATACCTGTCAGGGGGCCTTGCTCACGAACTGATAGGCGTTAATTCATTGTAGAAAAAGCCTTAATACCAGTAAGCTGAAGGATAGAGTTATTTATTTAACAAAAGGGTATCAACCAAAGTCACTTACAGGGTTAGCATCCTTGTTGAACAGGTACATCAGTTTGACTATTTACCGTAGAATGCTGGACCTAGTTGCTTGAATGAGTTCATGATCAAGATTGCTAATACTGTCGACTTGAAAGTGGTAGAAAGCTTCGTATAAAAGATCATCCCGACAACGGAGTATCCAAAGGTATATCGACTTTGTCTCCAAATTCTCCACAAAACCCCCCACCGAGGTGAAGATGATTTCCCTCACCTCACCTCCACCGCAGCGGCCTACCCCGCAAACCCCACCTTCTCCATCTCGTCTCATCCCTCCTTCCCCCTTTCACTCGGCCCCCGATAACATCTCCGAGTGGCCATGTTCTACCTTGAAACTCATCTTACCTTGGTTGCCCGTTGACACTGTTAATCTCCTTTCTTCATTCACAAATCGGCCAGCCCAGACCTACGACAGACAACTCACGGATCCTCCTCACTCAAGCGAGAGTCAAGACCAAGACCAAGAACAGCTGAGTCAACCCGGCGGGAGGCTCGGTAATATATCTACCGCTCCATAATAAAAGGAAACTACAACCGAGCCGAACACTATTCATATCATATCGGCTTGAACGGGTAAATCTCGATCTACCACTTCACCAGAATCAGGGGGTCACACCACCAAAACAAAAAGTCAAGCCCCAAACAAAAGTCCCAGCA